TGATTCGATATGAGACAATCCTAATAATTTTAACTCTTATGTTTTACGAGATTATTATAAGACTAATGATTGGATTTGGGTGGTGCAATCTTGATTGTTCTAACTAATGCTATCTTTTCGTAGCAATTTAATGCACTGATATAGGATTAAATTATTTATAATGCTAATATAAGATTATATCCTAGCATCAAATTTATATTAAATAATTTTTAATACCAATCTAATATAGAGATAAACTTTCTATATTCAGATTCATGAATATTTATTATTTAATCTCTATTCGCGTTAGTTTAGATGAGTTTTAGAATGCTTGAGTTCATAAATATTAATGTTCAGACCTTTTTATTAACATTAGTTAGGTGAGTATAAAGAAAATCGTCAATCAAGTGTTTAAATAAGCTATTCGTTTCATGATTTTTACTATTTAATTTAATTCGTTCACGTTAATTTAGTGCGTATAACGAAGCTTATTAATCTAAATATTTAAATTGCTATTTAAGTTTGTGAATACAGCATTTATATTAATTTTCATTTGTTCAAGTTAATTTAATCGTGAATACAAAGAAAGTTTATTAATCTAAGTGTTAAATCAGCTATTCAAATTCATGAATATTTATTAATTATTTTATTGGTGTGAAATTAGGCATATGTATAAATAAAATTTATTAGCCTAAGTATTTAAAAAAGATATTCAAGTTCATGAATGTTATTATTTGATTTCCTTTTACTTACGTCATTTAGTGCATAATATAATGAAAGTTTATTAATATAAATGCTTAAACTTCTGGTTCAAAATATTTATTATTAGTCTTTACTTGCGTTAATTTATGTAAGTATAAGGAAACTTTTTATCTATGTGTTTAATTGAGCTATTCTGCTTTGCGAATATTTATTAATATTTTCATTTGTTCACGTTAGTTTAATGCATATATATAAAGAATATGTTTAAGGCAAGCTATACAGACTTATAAATATTAATTTTTAATCGTCTTAATTAGCGCCAATTTAGGTGAGTATAAAGAAATTTATTAATCAAAGTGATTAAATAAGCTGTTCAATTTTATGATGAATATTTCCTATGTTATTTAGTGCGTGAATGTAACCAAATTTATAAATAGAAGTTGGCTAACATGAGATCAAATTAGCTCAGGGTTACAAGCATAGGTTATGCGAGATGAATGTTTACGGAGGATTCGGATTTAATGATAGTGGATTGTTAAGGAATTTATTTAGTTGGTATACGATTCATAAGGTACGTTCTTTATTACTTCATTAAGACTCAAGCGGAATTTTCCCTATTCTTCGATCTCTTCTTTTTATTAGTTTAGGGTCATATTTATACATTTTAAATTGCCATGGTCTGAACCAAGATCTATGGTCTCAAACCAAGATCTGCGGTCTCGAACCATTATATGTGGGCTTAACTACGATCTGTGGTTTCAAACTTTAATCTCCTATACATAGCCATTTCATAACGATAAACTGAAAAAAATATATACATGGAAAAATTAACAAAAATTTTTACATACAATATATACTATTTATTTCATTCGTTCAATTTAATTTAATCATGTGTACAAAGAAATTTGTTGGTTTAAGTGTTAAATACAGCAAGCTATTCAGTTTCATAAATGTTTCTTTTGACTTCATTTTATTTTCGTCAATTAGTACAAGAATGTTAAAGGAAATTTATTGGCTTAGGTATTTATAATCTAAACGGTTAAAATAAGCTACTGTATTCAAGTTATTATTTAAACTTTATTAATTTCATCTTGTTCGCATTAATTTAGTGAGTATAAAAAAATTTATTAAAAACTGTGTTTTTTTAAAATAAGATGAATCCTTGTTAATAATTAATTTTTGATACAGTTAAAATTTGTTAATTTTAATTATGTAATATTTTATTATTTTATTTAGTTTAAAATTTATTTAGATTAATAATATATCTTTATTACAATAAATTTGAAGTAAAATAGCCATGTCTGAAGCAACGCAAAGGTTACATAATAGTTATTTTAAACCATTTAAATTTAGGATGTTTTAATATTCACCGTAGCTAAAATTCACAGGTTAATCAAAAAAATATTAAAAATAAATAAAATATGCCTTCTTCGGTTATTTCTTTTTTTTTTAGAAAAAAAAAACCTTCTAAGGAGGGACGTATTTTCTCATTTTTAAATTAATTCTTAATTTTAATTTTTTATATATCTAAAGCTTTAATTGAAGTTTTAAGCTTATTTAAGACGTTTAAATCATTATATCTATATACTGTATTTTGATTTGATCTATACACTTTATTTAATACGAGTTTCTCTTTATCTTGTATTTGTTTGCATTTATTTGGTTTACGTTATTTTTACAATTGATTGTATTTATAATATTTGCTTTTTTGATATTTTTAATTAATAATTTACTATTTTATATCTAATTATATACTGAATTATTTTTGATTCGTTATATTTATTGTTGTATTTCTATATTTTGAATGTAAGCTTTAAAATCAAAAATTAATATCATTAGATCGAATATCTAGATACGCAAGAGTGGTGTTCTTGAAAGTGCACTTCTAATGCCTTTCCTTCTTCTGATCCGAAATTATTCTCACTAAGATTTAGAGAGATCAAAGTGGTGTTCTTGCAAAGTGCATCTGCTAATACTTTTCCTACTTCTAACCCAAGATTATTTTTGCTAAGGTTCAGAGAGATCAACGTGGTATTCTTGTAAAGTGCATCAGCTAATGCTTTTCCACCTGTTCCAATATTATTATATCGAAGATCTAAATTTTTTAGCGTGATATTCTTGTAAAGTGCATCGGCTAACGCTTTCCCTCCTTCTGATCCAAGACTATTCCAATCAAGATTCAAAGAAGTCAGCTTAGTGTTCTTGCAAAGTGCGTCTGCTAACGCTTTTCCTCCTTCTGATCCAAGATTATTCAAATCAAGGTCCAAAGAAGTCAGCGTGGTGTTCTCGCAAAGTGCACCTGCTAATGCTTTTCCTCCTTCTAATCCAAAATTGTTCCAACCAAGATCCAAGGAAGTCAGTGTGGTGTTCTTGCAAAGTACATCAGCAAATGCTTTTCCTCCTTCTGGTCCAAGATAATTCCAATAAAGGTTCAAAGAAGTCAGCGTAGTGTTCTTGTAAAGAGAATTAGCTAATGCTTTTCCTCCTTCTGATCCAACGTAATTATTTTGAAGATTCAAGGAAGTCAACGTGGTGTTTTTGCAAAGTGAATCTGCTAATACTTTTCCTCCTTCTGATCTAAGATTATTATCACTAAGATTCAAAGAAGTCAGCGTGGTATTCTTGCAAAGTGCGTTTGCCAATGCTTTTCCTTCTTCTGATCCAAGATGATTATTACTAAGATTCAAATAAGTCAACGTGGTGTTCTTGCAAAGAAATTCTGCTAATAACTTTCCACCTTTAGTACCAATCATATTACTATAAAGATCTAAAGAAGTTAGGGCAATATTTTTATTAAGGGCCTTTAATAATGTTTCCAATCTTTCATAATTAAGTTGATCAGAACTAAGCTTCAAAGAAGTTAAAGTAGAATTCTCATTAAGGACTTTTGCTAATACATCTATCGTCTTAGATTTAAAACCGCCAGTGATATATAAATCCATAGAAGTTACAGTAGTATTCTCATAAAGGTTTTCAAATATTAATTGATTGCAAATAGCTTCGTTAAGACTTAAATGTTTAAGATTTTTGCTAGTTCTTAGAAACATTGCAATCAAGGAACATTCAACGGCATATTTAAGCTCACGTCCGTTTTTATATCCAAGCCAATTTTTAACTCCTTCAGACAAATAACTGCTAATAGATGTAACATAACTTGTATATTCAAATAATGGCTTGGGATGACTTGGAAGGGTAATTTTAAAAGGAGTTAATAGAGCTTTCTCTTCAGCATTTAACGTTAAAAGAAATATTTTTATAAGTCTTCGATTTTTAAAACGGTGTTCCGGCTCACTCCACAGCATTGGTATAATAATTCTACACCATTGCCGGTTTACAAGCGCACACGAAAATAAGTTTTTATAATTATTTCGGAAGTTATTAAATATTATATAGTAGCATTCGTTCGGTAATGGCATCATATTGAAAATTTACCAAAAATTTTAGTACGTATGTACGTACGTGCGGACTTTTATAAGCGAAAAAAATCCCAATTTGGAAAGGATTACTTATTAAAGAACGGCGCTTGTAGATCGAACCTGAAGGCAGATTCTCGATTTTGATTGGCTAAGAACGACGATCAAAAATATTACTAATGAAATCACAGGCGCCTATTAAGTGAAAATTGTTCCTGGAAATTTTACAATAGTGCGGGCATATTTTTTCCAAAAATTCCTTTTTTTGTAATGAAAATTAAAAGGTTAATTGACCGGAAATTAGTAAACAATGTATAATATTTTGGCCGTTAATAAATCAAAATCGAGAATTTGCCGTGACAACTTTGCTGCTACAGCTATGGTTAATACAAATTCCAAAAATTCGGTAATTCCAGAAATGGTGGGTATTCGAGAATGGTGAGAATGAGAAGAATTAGGGAATTCATCATGGGATAATTAATTTCGTTAGATGTAAAGATAAACAAACGAAGTTTCCTTCTAAAATGAAGATAACTCACCTAAAGTGTATCTGAAAAAATTATAAAAGCATTTCGTTCTACTAATATCATGATTAATAAACAACCATAGCGTAAACTCTAATTATTCGGACCAAGTCTTTCTACCCTATATCGAACTTTCTATCGAACTTTTTATCGTTATGGTTAGGATTAGATAGTTTTTGTAGTTAGTTTCTATTGTGTATAGCTCTGGTCACCCGAACTAGTCCCACCTTTTGCAATGTAAAGAGTGTATGGCTATATGAAGAATGAAGCGTCTCTACACAAATACGTGCATCTGATTAGTCGGTCTTTTCCGGTGACTTCTATGTTGTAGGCGGATATAGAACATATGTAGATTCGGAAATAACTTGATTTCAACTAAATAATGGTACATATCTTTTAATAGCTTTTTAAAGCAATCGCATTTGATTATTTAACCAAGATATCAATTTGCGAGATAGACTACTGTAGCTATTCTTACCAGAACATATGAGAACCGGTGAGCGGATAAACATACAGTTGAAACAAAATAGAACTGGCCATTTCTTTGAGTTAAGAATTGATTAAGAATTCTTTTTATTATTTTTTCTATTGCCTAAGTATTTAAGCCGAATAAGCATAATTTCGAGTCTTTATATTATCAGTCTCACCTTCTTAGCAATACCTCATAACAATACCGAAGGTAAAATCTACAAATCGCGATAGCATTTATGCATATATAACCTGAGTGTCCTGCCAAATGTATCGAAATTGCCCTGTTTTCTTTTTGAGGCTTCATTTCAACAAATAAATGCGACCGATAATCACCTGATTGAAGAAGAACAGCCACACGACCCTTCGCCTCAAAACACAATTACAGGCAGAACAGCGCATGTGATAATCAGAATTGGTGCAGAAGAAGGGATGCGTAGGAAGATAAATGACAAGGTTAAATACAGTATGTTTATGGCATATGCATGGCATAAAGAACTAGAAATTGGAAGGTATTAAGTATAAGAATTGAGTATGACGAAGCCAGGTGTTTGAACGGAAAATTCGCGCGACCGACCAACAGCTCTAAGATTAATACCAATAATCCTACGGCGACTCCCAGTGTAATTACGATCGCCTTGTCACGGGACTCTCACTTCTCAATAATGATTCTGCCAAATTTTAATAAAACTCACCTCCGGCATTAATTATCTACCAAAAAATCCATCAAAATTTGATTGATTGTTATCGAGATATATTCACTCACAGTTTGAGAAAATTATGGCTAGCTTCTATTTTGATAGACGGTTTGAGTTTTTTTAAACTTTAAGCGAGGATATATTGACAAATGCCAAGCCAAATTTGGTCATCTTTTTTTTAAATTAAATTCTACAGATTTGTAAAATTCAGATAAAAAAATATATATATCATCAAATCTGACCTGGTGGTTGTCGAAATATCTTCGCTTAAAGTTTGAAAATTTTTATTTGAGATGTTTTGAATTTTTTAAAAACTTTGAGCGAAGATATCTCGACAACCACCTATCTTTTTTTTTTAAATTTTACATATTCATAGAATTCAAATAAAAAATGGTTATTGAATTTGGTTTAATTTTTGATGAGATATCTTTGTAAAAAAAGTTATACAGTACTAAAGTTCCTTAGAAATATCATGTAATAATTCTTATAAGATTGAATTTCTCAAAGTTTGAAAAAATTTATCGCTTTTGATAGATGTTAAAATTTGAGTGAAGATATCTTGACAACTATCAAGCAAAATTTAATAACAGTTTTTTATTTGAATTCTACAGATTCGTAGAATTCAAAAAAAAAAAAAAACCTTCATTGAATTTAACTTGGTGGTTGTCGAGATATCTTCGTTCAAAATTTGAGAAAATTTTGGCGCAACTTTTATTTGAAATTTTTTTAAAACTTTGAAAGAAGATATCACGACAGCCACGAAGCCAATTTTGATAAATTTTTTTTATTTGAATTATGCCGATTCGTAGAATGTTAAACAAGAAAAGTTCATCAAATTTGACTTGGCGGTTGTCAAGATGTCTTCGTTCAAAGTTTAAAAAAATTAAGAAATATGATACAAAAAAAAGCTTGAAAATTTCCTTATTATTTAGCTACATAAACAACTAGCTCTAGCATATTACTTGATAAGTATTGAAAAACGAAAATAGAAGAGGAATTTGGGAAATTTTATTTGTTAACAATAAATTTAACTTTAAATTTAAGATTTTCATATGATCGTCAATTATTTGATGATTACAGTAAATTGAAAGCGCGATAATAAAATCTTCAAATTGATAACATTGATAATTTGGCAGATTTATAGAAATATTTATTTAGATGAAAAAACAATGAAAAAAAGAAATTATAAATAGTAATTTAATAAAAAATATATATAAATAGAAATAAAATAAGAACTATGTGATAGTTAAAATTTTTTTTTTTATCATACCACTCCAATTGTAACATTACTATCTAAGTGGGTAAAAATTGTTATATACCCGAATTACTACTTGTCTTTTCATTAATCTTAATGAATTTATTAAGTTTATCAAGTGCTTCACTCATTTGTTTTTTTAATTCCTCCTCAGAATTTTCAATTTGACTTTTCAATTCCTTTCCCAGGTCGTCAATTTTAGAAATTTCCAAAATTCTGGCAGGCAAACTTTTTTTATCTTCAATACTTTTTATATATTTTCTAAGCTCATTAACTGAAACTTTGTAATATCTAAAAATTTAAAGTATATGTGTATATTAACATATATTATATAATATTTGCAGTGTGTATAACATAATTAATTACAATATTTCTGGAAACCAGTTTTTCTTTCTTCTTTGATGAGGTAACATCCAAAAAAGTTCAATTTTAGATAATATCTAAAAAATAAGCAAATAAATTTTTTTTAGACCATTTCTAAAATACAGTTAAGTAAAATTTTATTACCTCTCCTTTTAGTCGTAAAAAAGGTTCTTCATTATCTCTTTCATTAACAGCATTTCCAAGTAATGAAATTAATAGATTTAATAAATAAATAGTTGTAAAAAATGAAAATACAAATAATAAAAGTGCCAAAGTCCAATTATTTTTTAAAACCCATGAAGAAACTGAACTTGAATCGCCTAAAAATAAAAATATTATTAATTGTTTTTTTAAAATTTTACTCAATCATTATTATATTACCTGTTAGCATAAAATATACGGCTAAAATTGAAGTACTAAACATGGAAAATAAGTTTGTATCACCATCTGGAGTTTCAATAAGTGATGATGCTTGAATAGTTCCATTAGGTGAAACTAAATCATATGTTGCAACTAGATTCCAAGGATTAGTAGGCCTTAATAAAAGATGTAAAGAATGAGCAAAAGCTAATACTATAATGGCTAAAAGAATAAAAAAAGAAAAAACTTTTTGTGCTACTCCAATCATAATTGCAAAATAAATTCCAAAATATTTTATAGCACGAAAAAAAAATAAAAATTTAATCTCAAGCAAAAAAACAGCAATAGTTATAGACCAAATTGGTAGAGATCTATTATGTAACCATAGTAATGAAATTATTGTTGGGAATAATATTGTAACAAGATCTATAATTAAAATTGTAATAAACCATAAAGATAAAACGTTAGTACTATAATTATATATATTAAATTAATTATTTTTAAATTAAATATATACTATACCAATCCAATTCCATAAACTAGCAATATAAACTATTGGTCTATGAATAAATTGACGAACCTCAAAAATAAGGTGAAAATATCCAAAAAAAATAGTTAAAGTTAAAAGAATAACTTGATTATTCCAAGACATTTGGATTGTTGAAACAACTAAAAAGCAGGACATAAAAATTGTATATATTGCCCACATTATAAAATAATATAAGGATCCATAAGTATTCCACTTGAAGTCGATAAGTGCTTTAACATTCCACCATTTATAATGATCTGAGGTATCCGATAGCAAGGTAAAGGGATTATCTTGCAAATAAAATAGTTCGCTATAAGACCATTTTTCAGGATATGTAGCAAAATTTAATAATGGAAATATTAAAATTACAGTTTCTTGGGAATAAGTAGTAAGATAAGATGAATACAACGAATAAGGGGATGCTAAAATGTTATAAATTCGCGGATAAAATCTTTCTAAAAAGTTCCATTGTTCAGAAATCCAGAAAGATAAAATATTAAAATATGAAGTTTTAAATAGATTATGTGAATCAATATAGGATCCACAATGTTGAAAATTAGATGATAAAGAATTATCATATTCTTCAGGATTAATCCTAGGCAAAATAGTGCCAACCAACATATTGGTTTCTGATAAAAATTTTTCTGTAAACCTTAGATTTTTGTTATATTTTTCTAACTCTACTAATCTAGAAGCAATTTGGCCTATCATCAATATAAAGTTATAAATATCGCCATTCTCAAATATCGACAATCTATAATGATAATAATTATTATAAAATACATCCAACTTATACTCTTCATTTTTAAAAATTTTATCAAATAGATCTTTTCCATATAATTTTAAAATTGTTAATTTTTTATAGTCTAACCAATATAATGATGATATATTTGTATCTTTACGTACTTTCTTATGTACATAAAAATTTGGAGGTGGCAAAATTTCAAAATCAAAATAAAATTTTCGATTCTTTTCAGACGTAAAAGAAGAAAGAAAGCTAATTATGGAATCTTTGGATATTTTTGCTGTTTGGTTAGATTTATCATTGCCCCAACAATAAATTAAGATAATTGGTTTTTCAGAACTTTTCTCGGAATTTATTGCATAGATTTGAATGGAAGAACTGAAAACAAACAATATGTCACCATTCCTGAGCACTTTATGTTCAAAAAAACCATTATCTAAATAAAATGATCTAGATTCAATTTCTTTATCAGATCCAATTCGAGCTTTTAAATTTATCTCCCATATTCCATGTTCATCTTTTTTATATTCAATAATCCATGTGTGCGTCTCTACAGGATATTTTTTACGTTCTTCTGAGAACTTCGGAGTTAAAATTTGGGTTTCCTCAAGATCATTAGACTCTTTAACAATAGTCTGTATAATTTGCCTAATTTCTTCTACATTAAAATATGTATTACACACATAACGCTCTTTATAATTTTTCCAACTTTCATTTTGAGACAATCTTTGAATCGATAAATGATTAACATCAATTTTTATAATATATTCAGAAACAATAGAACCAATTGATTTATAATCTCGATATATGTCAGGATAAAAGACATTATTATTGCCAGTGCCATAATAAATTTCCCCAAAGACATTATTGTCAGAAGATTTATCAAGTGTGTGCATCTTAGGATTCAATATATAAGTGTTATAAATCTTTTTTTCATGATGCGGACCGGAGAAAAACAAACGTTCCTGTTCTCCTGATCCAATAAAACTGAAATTATGCAATTCCTCATCAAATTTTCCTGAATTGCTAAATAAATTAATAACCTTGGCATCTGTATTTATAGAAAATTTGATTATAAAATACTTACTATATGCTATCATTGTGCCAGTTTTTGTCGAATAAACATAGACATCACTAGAAGAAAAACGATCCCAATGTGCTACTGTCAACAATGTATTGTCGTTATTCAGTTTCATTTTTAAGTTATCTAACCGGAGATGAGTAAATTTTGAATTCGAATATAGCATATATCGCATATTAAATTTCTGATCTATTAAGTCCCATTGCATAATTGCGAAAGAGGGTATTTCGAAAAATAGAAATAGCTTTCCGTTTTGAAGAATAGAGCAAAAATAAAAGTTTTCGAGTTCGAAACTTTTTTTACATGTCCATAGAAGTTTGTTGTTGTTAGAATTTGATTTTGAAAAGATATAGACCCGATAAACAGGTTCTCCTTTGACAACTGCAAGATTTCCGTTTACCAGAAAAGAAATACCTGCCATACTTTTTGTTAAACCTTGCGCGCTCAAGATTTGGCTTGATTTAGTTGTGGTGTCAATAACTTCTGTT